CTCAAGGCGCTACGGGGCTGCCGGCAGCTGTACTAGTACTGTACTCGAGTACCGTACTGTAGGATGGCAAATTCATCTCTTGCGCCCAAGTGATCCTTCGTTCTTCCCTTCTTGAGCCAATTGGTCCAATTCCGAGATACGTTCATCTGATACCCTTTTTTTTTTTTTCATTTTTGTGCTCCTCAGGGTGCATGGGGCTGGGCAGCTGTGTAGTATGGCAGGTTCACCTGTTGCACACGTTGGCCCTTCATCCTTCCTCCCAAAACTCGGCGCCTACTGCAGTACCCTTAGCGATTAGCCCAACTTTTCCTTCCTCCTCCTGCTCAGTACCCCGTTTTTCCGCCCCTAGATTTGACAGACCGACATGCGCCAAGACCGATCAATCATTACTCATCGTGCGCTGCTGGACACAAAGTTACCTTGTGGGTGGTGCATGGGGCAACCTGCGTCATAAGTGCTGCTTTTTATGGGCTATTAGCGGTCGGTCGCCTAATTTACTAGCTGGGGGCTGCCCACTTCACATTACTCGCCTTTTTTCCATCGACTATATGGTCCACTTGTAAATCCGCACCCGAGTGATTTTGTGTGAACATCCCGGGTCCCACGAAAAAGAAACGCACCGCCCCCATTTTCCATACAAAAACACCCATTTTCAACCAGCTGCCAGCAGAAACCACAACAAATCCTCCCCCCCAAAACCCTGATGGTGTGATAGGTATCCATAAGGAACTTGACATTACGAATTTTTCAATTTTTATTTATCAACAGTCTTTGATGCCAATACAGAGAGACATGAAACCAGGTTAGGCTGTTGCTATGCAAAATCCCATACAAATTGGCTATTTTGGCATGGATTTTGACCTCCCATTCAGGACTTGACTTTCAGTTTTTTTCAGAAAAATTCCTGCAGCTTGAAATCCCAACCATCTGAATCTCTGGGTTAAACTCTCTGCCATAAAAAAATGTCAAAATTTTCTCATCCTTTGCTGCTAGATAGGTGCATATTGAAAATTGGTGTTTTGTATGGAAACCGGGGGGGGGAGGGGTGCATTTCTTTTGTTGCTAGGATCGTACGGTGGGCCCTTAAATCACCGGTACCGACAGTCCCAAGCTTTAACACACTCAATTGTGAAGAATACCGTCTCCGGAACTGTGGCGGGCGGCATTCACCCTCTTGGGTGGGAGGCTCGGAGCCAGATACCGGTAACGTATTTGGGGGTGTTATGGGTCACCACCTAGTTATGGGTCACCGTCATTATAGCTTTAAAGGCAAGAAGATTGACAACTACCACTCCACAGCTGGTTGAAACATGTTCATTTTTGAAAGAGTTAGTAGAATTGGTTCAGTTTGTACATTTATAAAATAAAAAATCCTAGTCAAACAATCTCCACTAGAGAGGCCCATGGGTGATATATCATGATTCATTTATTATATGGTAGAGAACAAGAACTAAAAGTAGGATTCTAGCAGATCTTTTTGCCTGAGTACAAGTAGAGATAGGTATTGCCTAGATCCCAAGTGAAAAAAATTAGATCTGCACTCTTTTCTGTTCAAGCAATAGGTTTGAAAATAGTATAGTATTTGAAAATATGTAACTTCAAGTTCTTGCTATTTATTAAGGAGTACATATATATCTTGTAGCTCTATTGACTCATATCTTTAAATATAGATTGTTTGGTATATTCTGTTTACTTTGCTGCTATATAGATTGAATAGAAATTTCTAATACTACCTGAATTGCTCTCTCTCTACTCCAGAGTCTTTTTTCTTCCTACCTGACATCTAATGTTCTCCTGCAAGCACTCAAATTATAAATCATATTATTTTTTGGTAATCAGTAGCCTTGTAACTGATACCTGACTCCTGAACACTGCTTCATTGTTTCTGCAACCAAGATTTTCAATTGATAGGAGGTAGTGATATTTTGTTTTAGTATTTGTTAAACTATCAGTTTTACTGACAGGTTCAAGTATGGTCACTTTACTATATTTACTCAAGAATAATATACCAAGCTTCAATAGAGCTAGGAAGCTAACTTGAGTTATAATATTGACTATATAGATGTTGTACCCTTAGAATTTGGCAATTTTCCAATTATTAAAAAAAAAAACTAGAAATAGTTGAAGATATTTTATTATAAATATACCATATAGCTCAGAAATAGTAGTACTTAAGATACAATAGTTATAACCAAGATATATTAAGCAGTAGTCATATCTTCATAAGGATACAATTAATATATACCTACAATGAAATCTTTTTTATGATTTTAAGTATATTAACAGTTCAAAGCCTTTGAGCAGTAATGTATTAGAATAAAGACTACTAGCAAGTAAGGGGAAAGGCAATTCTGCATATTATAAACTTTGCAAGATTTGCAGAACTTGATTTCTAAGAGTTAATAAGAGGAAAACATACTAATTAGAAAAGAACAGAATACTTAAATAGTATTAGAAATTTCTATTCAATCTATATAGCAGCAAAGTAAACAGAATATACCAGGCAATCTATATTTAAAGATGTGGGTTGGTGGAACTGCGGGGTATGCATGTGGTCCTTGGTAGATAGCGGAGGCTTGGGGTTGCGCATTTTCAGATGCTGTGCTGTTTTTAAACCTATTGCTTGAATTGAAAAGAGTGCAGATCTAATTTTTTTCACTTGGGATCTAGGCAATACCTATCTCTACTTGTACTCAGGCAAAAAGATCTGCTAGAATCCTACTTTTAGTTCTTGTTCTCTACCATATAATAAATGAATCATGATATATCACCCATGGGCCTCTCTAGTGGAGATTGTTTGACTAGGATTTTTTATTTTATAAATGTACAAACTGAACCAATTCTACTAACTCTTTCAAAAATGAACATGTTTCAACCAGCTGTGGAGTGGTAGTTGTCAATCTTCTTGCCTTTAAAGCTATAATGACGGTGGCCCATAACTAGGTGGTGACCCATAACACCCCCAAATACGTTAATTATTAAAGGCTGGGTTATGAGTGGTCAATTTCCTGATATGATACACCGCCTGGCCCCTGCTAGCTTCACATTACTAACATTTTTTTTTCATCCAAGACACGTCTGAGTGATGGTTTGTGTACGGTATGTACGAGTACTGTGGACGACTCGTCGATTGCCAACAGTCCCAACCCTAACCCACCGGCTAATTCCGCCCGTGACCCCGAGAAAGGCCAGATTCGCTAAAGTGAGCTCACACCCAACCACGATCGTATCCGAGCTCTGTCAGGCACAACGCAACCACCATCGTTTACCAGGCATCTCTTTCTCCCGACAACGAGAAAGAAAGGAAGAAAACCGAAACCCTTATTCTCCTCCTCCTTCTCCTTCGCCCCTTTTACCCCTCCTAAAGCTTGCGGAAAAAAACAAACAAGGGGGCAAGAATTAAAAAACCATGGACCAAATCCAAAGTATACTCGACGGGTTCATCGTGAGTTGCCCCACCTCCTCCTCACCGCCATTAACTAACCTAGACAATCAAAAAAACTAGGACTTTGAAGGCCAACGCCTCGCCGAAACCCTAACGACCACAATCCTCGTTCTCTCGGGCGTAATTATTACCCTCTGCCCTACTCACGGTAAATAAACGCAAACAGCTCACAGTCATCTTTCTTGCTTGCTTCAGATACTGGCTTTCATAGTCGGCTACCTTCTCTCAGACCTCAAGTACACTGTTTACATCGGGCTTAGTGGCACAGTAATCGCGTTCCTGGCGGTGGTCCCACCATGGGGTATATACAAGAGGAACCCGTTGACATATTTGCCTGCTGGTGGCGTGCAGGTTCAGATGGTTGATGGGGATGCTGGTGGTGGGAAGGAGAAGGAGGAGGGGAAGAAAGTCAAATGAGTGTTAGGACTGGGGGAGGGGGTTCTTTTGTTGGATTGGATTGGATTGGACCGGGTTTGATATCTTTCCGCTGCTGTGACAGGGGGAGGGAGGGCAAGAGGGGAAGAAGGGCAAGGAACCCTTTGTAGGATAGCTATGGTGGGGGTACGAAGCGGAGCAAGGACCGTACCAACCATGGCGATAGAAGTTTTGCTATTCGATGTTATTTTTTTCCTTCCATCTCCATCCCGATCTCGCCGGATCGGATGGAATTGTTTTTGGATTTTCCACCAGCGGGGTTCTATCATAGAACTCGGGGTTATGAATTCAACGATGTCATAGCGACGGGTATGGATGCGGAGATTGGGGGTGAGATTATGCTCCGATTCAGTATGAGCAGGGTGCTTGTATCATACTTCTGTTGCCCAAAACACAAGATTGATAGCATTTAGAACACCTTACCGCTACCAATACCCCCCCAATTGCTAGAAACGGACACCCCCATCGCCTCGATCATAACCAGTCCATGGCATTGTGGAAATTTCCTCCAAACAGACACTACTGCTACAGGAATTCGTACCTGGAAGTCACGCTTCAAGTATGATTCTACCCCCCTTCTCCGCCATGTACCTACCCACAATATCAATGACCATAGCCACACAATTGACCCCACCTCTCGGTAAATTCCCCATATGATACTCGCATTAAACGCCCACCCAAGAATACCAACCCAAAAAAAGGCCCCACGATTAAACACTGTACCATACCGTTACATGGAACCCCTAGAACCCCCTCCCCTCACAAGCACCGAACTAGTGCGGCACTTGCAAAGCAGCATCATACGTATACTGTACTCGACGAGAGCATACGTAGCTCACGCGCGTTGCACGATGCTCTACAGAGCATGACACCCAAAAGGTTACCGATAACTTCGCTGCCGGTGAGCTACAGCGCATGTCATTCAGTTATGGCCACGCTACTGTACAGCTTCGCGTCGCTATAGCGAACCCTAACCCAAGCGCTCGGGATTCTCGCTTCGTCGTTTGTTTGTTTCTTTGTTTGTAGGGAGGTTGGTTCCGATATCGGTAGTCTAGCAACGGTTTTGTACGGTACGAGTGAGCGTCCAATCATGGGTGTGATATGATATTCTTTTTTTTTTTTTTTTTTCCCGAGCGCTTTTTCATACGGTAATTGTCAACAGGCCGCTACATACTTTATTCGTGTGTCGCGATGGGAAAGAATTATGATGGAAGGAGGAGGAGTTTTCCTCCCGAAGGTGTCGGGGATATTTTCTCTCTGGATTTACTGGTGTTTTTGGCTGTTCCGGGACTATGATGCCGTCGTCGGCGTATGATATTGTCGTCCAATTTGAGGGGGAAAGGTCCATCGGACAGTAGAAAGGGTCGGGGGCGTGACCTACTGTACTACTCGAGTAGTGGATACGCGTTTGACCCAAAGGCGGTGTGAGTGGCTAGTCTATGGTGGTGATGGTGGTAGTCTTAGGACACGATCTAATCGAGTACCGTACGCCACTCAAAAGTTCAGCTTGGTTTGTTGCACTATACTAGATTTCCCCCAGAAGATGGAGAGTGCTTCTAATCATAGAAGGCCGAGCTTTTATTGGGACGGTGGCTAGAAGCCGAAGGTTCTTTTCGAATGTTAGTGTTCTTCAATATATTCATTGTAGCTGGGAAATTTGTAGACTATAGGGCATTCGGGCTCCCAAGAGATCCCCTCGGAATACCGGTATGATAGCTGTTTTTCCGCTGCAAGGAAGCCCGATATAGCATGGTGTGACTGTACGAGTACTTGTATTATTATTGTACAACTGTGCTACGATAACTCAGTTTTTCTTTCCGGACCCGATTACCCTACTGCATATTCACTCCACCGCTACTGGTCCGATCCGAGAGAAAGAAAGGGAAAAAGTCTAAATAAAAACGCTAATACTCTCCAACAAGAATGCACGTGAAATGAAATGAGACATCCTCCTGGAAAGAAAATATGACTGGTACAGGAGATAAAGCTAACGAGAAGGAAGAGAATGCTAGAGAGAAATGTACTTCGAGAACCCAACTTTCTTTTTTTGTTTTGCGCCGGGGAATATATGGTAAGAACCGCCTAGTAATTTAAAAAGAACAAAACGCAACACCCCTCCCAATCGTCATCTTGAATCCACATGACAATGACCGAGAAACAAACACCATTTTTACCCGACTCTATTTCCCCTTTCTCGTTGACTCGGACCATGTGTGCTCTATGCGCTTCCGCCAAAACGAATCGTGTTTACGACTTCTGACCAAATCCATCTCTCATACTCAGAGAGCTGGCGCTCATGGTAGAGTTGGATGTTGGGAGGACTCCAGTCTTTGACTGGGATTGCTTAACTTTCGCAAGAGCGTAAACGATTCCAGAGAAGAAACCAATGGCAATAGCCTAGAATATACTTGTTAGGAAGTAGCCTATCGGAGGTAGGGAGAGCAACTTACCGTGACAGAGAAGAAAGTAACAGGGGCATCGAAAAATATCAATCCAGAAATAGCAAGTGGGAGCTTGTTAAGAGCACCAACCATGGAATAGGTGGTAGACGAAGTGGTCCGAACACACCACGCAGAAGTATATGAGATGAAAATGGAGGAGAGTCCAGAGAAGATCATAGCAATAATGATGTTATTACGGCGCTCCTCAGGGAAGTTCAGGTTGATGTTGGTAGCAGACCAGTCCTCAAAGAGGAGAGAGCTAACGAAAAGAACAGGGATGGAAAGAAGGTTATTGTAAAACATAGCTAGAGGGAAACATTAGCAGTGCGCGGATGCAACTAAATAAAGATGACATACTATCAAAATCTTTGAAGTTCGTCAACTTTATCCTCTTCCTCATTCCCAAGACATAGCTTGCAGAGCTCAAGCAATTGACCAACATCCAGATATATCCGGCATTTAGTGTGCTCAAAGCAGCCGCGGTCTCAGTGGAGCTGTGGCCATAGCTGTCGATGGCGGCTCTGATATCTGCCCATGCCGCAACCACGGAAGAAAGAACCATCAAGCCAAACGAGAAGAGCGCCATTCCAGTTACGGAGCCACCGAACCATAGAACCTCGCCATAGGCAATCAAGATAATGGTTAAATTCTTGAATATGGTATAGACCGGTATTGATAAGAACTGGAGAGCCTTGGAGGAAGTGTAAATCATAAGAATTAGAAGAACGGATATGGGAAACCCTGCAGAGTAATTGTTATACGACGCATCTATACTAGCATACTAACTCCGGAGAGGTATGAGGAAAAGAAATGCATACATTTTCGAGCTTCGTCAATGCTAAAGTCTCGATACTTGATATACCCCATAGATTTGCAAATGGCGATGGCAACCACACAAACAACACTCTAAGAGGTTACGTTGATTAGCAGCTGTTCGATGTGCCCGGCCTCCGGAACACATGAGAGAGGGATTAAGGGAAACGCTTACCTGAACCATACACAAGAAGAAGTTCAAATTAAAGTCGTATCCCGACAACACATATTTATTCGTCACGGTCATGAGAATACTGGCTCCGCAGTAACTGAGAATTGGAAGCAACGGATTGCTCACCACCGGGGCCGCAGGAGGTCCACGCGGCGAAGGAGGAGCAAATCCCTTATCATTGCTAGGAATATCGACGCGGAAAGCTTCTTGCTTCTCTTTTTCGGCCATTACTGTAGTGCTTTGTTGCTTGGCTGGCTAGAACGATCTCGTTACTGTGTTTGAGGATGGTTGTCGTAAGCAGCGACTGAAGCTGGTAGAGACAGCGACACAAGGTCCCAAACGGAAATGACGGGAAGGAAGAAGTACTGTACTAAGGAATGACTGAGTGAGTTGAGGATGTTACCGCAAGGAGCGGATGGAAAAGTAAGGGGGGGTAGCGGGTATATGTTTCGATGGAAAAACACGGGAGGATGGGTTTAGCAAGAGGAAGATGGCGGGTGGCAGGGAGATAGGGGAAGTCGGAAGGGTATTCTCACCAAGGGAAAAGAAAAAAAGGGAAAGGAAAATCAAAGGGCGAGGCTAGAGGCAGGGACACGAAAGAGTACTCGTACCGTACACCAAGTTATTCCCAGTTAAAGACAACGAAAACCGATGGGAGGGCTGGGAGAGTCGGGAAATTGATAGAATAACAGGGGGTGTCAACGGCAGTAAAGTTTTTAACCCTGGGCTTATTATATGTTGATATCTTTGCGCAGGGAATAACGGTTTGAGATAACGTGGCCCGAAAGCTGTTCTTTCTGTGATGAAGTTGAAGATCCAGGGGGTGAGATAAAGGGGCTGAAAGGACGGAAAACCCGGATCGCCCCTATTTTTAATTTCAAATTTCTTTTCGAAAGGGGCCCTTGTGGCTGATGGGTAAAGATAGGCCATCGGAGGCGATGTTGCCCCGTGTGGCCAACCGTGCAACAGCCCCACCAAGAGCCGCAAAGCTCACCCCGCGGATTCCGCCAACCTTTTTTCCACTTCTGTCACAAACCTCCATCCACAAACCGCTGAGTGTCATGACGGGGGCTAGCTGCTCATATATTTCCATTGGAGGGAATCGAAACCCAGCGGCTGCGGATTGGTCATCTTCCGGGCTTCTTGCTTTCGGTGCTGGAAGATGCATATCGTTGTGGAATCCATTGGTTGGTGTGAAGTGAAGTCTTGATTTCGTTCCATCATCATGCATGACTAATTCTGTTTAAACTGCCAGGATCCCAAGTATCGTGGAGTTTTTTCCACCCTCAAAGGGCATACTGATCGCGTTAATGTCGTTCGATTTCTACCCGGCCAAGGTTTAGCGGAGGACATCATCATCTCTGGATCGGTTGATCAGTCACTCCGTATCTGGCAACGCCCCGAATGTTCTGATTCATTTAGTCTTTGCTCTGTTATCGAGGGGGTTCACAAGACTTCCGTAAGTGCTGTTGCAACATGTTCTCGGCTTCCTTCAGTGTTTGCATCGGCTTCGGTGGACGGGATAGTTGCTGTGTTTAGCCTTTCAATGCTGTCTCAAGGGAAATTGGATGTGAAACTTCTTCAAACGTTCTCTACTGCACCTAAATTTTATCCCTTGGCATTAGCATTGTCCGTTCTTCCCTCTCCACCCTCATCGGGTTCCCCAGCTCTTGTACTGGCGGTATCAGGATCTGCGTCATCAGTCTCGATATATCTGTCTTCCTCGCCTTCATCTCAGTTTTCCTACCAGGCTACTCTATCCGGCCATGAAAACTGGATTCGTTCTCTTGCATTTGCTCTCGAGGACTGCTCTAATCCGGGGTCCGATTTGCTATTAGCCTCTGCATCTCAGGACAAATATATCCGATTGTGGCGCATACATCCCGGAGAAGAGCTGCCGCCAGCAGCGGCAGAAGGGGAGAGTAAAACATTCGGTCTTAGCAACCGTCTATCCAACAAAGCCCACAAACTTCGAGCCGAGGGTGATGAGGTGTGGTCCGTCACTTTTGAGGCATTGCTCATGGGCCATGAAGACTGGATATACACTGCAGTATGGAGGCCCCAGACAGTAGACGGGTCAGGTTTGAGATTACTGTCAACATCTGCTGATAACTCACTTTCCATCTGGGCACCCGAAGAATCCTCAGGAATCTGGCTCACTACGTCTCGATTAGGAGAAATATCTGATTGTAAGGGGGCATCTACTGCGACTGGTTCTGCTGGTGGCCTGTGGATGGGATTATGGAGTCCGGACGGAGAGGCAGTCGCAGCACTAGGTAAAACTGGGTCCTGGAGGCTTTGGAAACACAACACCCAGGACGATCGATGGGTTCAGAGTGTGGGCATAGGAGGGCATGTGAAGGAGGCAATGGGATGCTCGTGGGAAAAGACAGGTGGATATCTACTATCGACTGGGCTGGACCAGACTACGAGGCTCTCTGCGGAATGGATCAGGAAGAATGAGGACCTGAGTTCTTGGCATGAGTTTTCGAGGCCGCAGATCCATGGGTATGATATCAATTGTATAGCAAGCCTGGGAAGGAACGGGTTTGTTTCTGGTGCAGACGAGAAGCTACTAAGAGTCTTCGATGAGCCGAAAAGTATTGCAGGGCTTCTTGAGAATCTAAGCGGCATAAAGGAATTATCAAGAGTAGGTGATGTTCCTCTAGATAAGTTGGAAGTTCTAACAGTAGCCGGTGGTTTATCAGGAATCAATGCCAGACGCAGCCAACATCCCAGTACTAGGACTATCTAATAAAGCAGTCGATGGCTCAATGGTCCTCCCATTACACAATGGGAGCGCCCCGGAGGAAGAAAATGATGAAAACAAAGAACAACAGGTGCCCGCTCAATCAGCAACATCAATTATAGAGAACCTTAATCACCCACCCCTTGAGGATCACCTCGCTAGACACACACTCTGGCCTGAGAGAGAAAAGCTTTACGGCCACGGATACGAGATATCAGCGGTATCGTGCTCACCCGATGGAAAGCTCATTGCAACAGCGTGCAAAGCCAGCACCATAGATCACGCAGTTATAAGGCTTTTCGAAACGGAAACCTGGCAGGAAGTAAAACCTCCTTTGAAGTCGCATTCCCTCACAGTTCATAGAATGGCATTCAGTCCTGATGGGAGCCGACTGTTGAGTGTGGGCAGGGATCGTGCGTGGACCGTGTTTGAGAAGCGAGATGTGGGATGGGAAGTGCTGGAGATGAGGGAAAAGGGCCATACTAGGATCATATGGGATGGAAAGTGGGCTCCGGTTGAGAATGTGTTTGCCACAGCGAGCAGAGACAAGTCTGTTAAGTTATGGGAGAAGGGAGATGGGGGATGGGTGAACAGAGCAACGCTGAAATTCGAGGCGCCAATCACAGCGCTGGACTTCCTGGGCGAGGTAATCGAGGGGAAATGCTGGCTTGCGATAGGTCTTGAGGATGGAGGATTGTATGTCCATCATGTGAAAGTAGGTGATTGGGCGAATCTGGAGTTGCTCGTCAAGCTGGATGATAGGTATTCCCAGTCTCCAATCCGCAAAGAAATGAATACGAGTGACTAATTGTGATGATGGGGATAAAGAACCACCCCCGATAGGTCGGTTACACAGATCACCTGGCGACCAACAAAAGGCCAGGTGGGAAAGAGGGAGATGGCGGTCAGCAGCGAAGATTCTTCCGTGCGAGTGTACAGTATCTCGACCGCCTAAAAGCATAGATATATAGCGAACTCTATGGGGGGAAGAAGCAATAACTCGAACAAGGGTGTTGTTGGGCCACCGTTACGCCATGCTTACCTACCGTATTGCACCAACCACGTGTAATGCGTGCCCTCTGGGCGCGGCTGAAGAGTGCAAAAATCTGAGAAACCGCCGAGAAACCTAACCGAATCCCATCTGCTCGATCATAGGGCCCGGTTGGGGAAAGCTCCCAGTGCCATCCCTCCCGTGAAGGCCTCATAGATCAATAGGGCTCCTTCTCAACATTATTATACGTCACCTGGCCACTCTTCTTCCTATCCCTGGGCCCCCTTTCCTCCAGATCCTCCACCAACCAGCCAAGCGCCAGATCCAATAATGCCGAATTCCGCATAATGCCTCCATTACCGCTGCCCGCACTAGCCCCCTTCCTCTCAGCCTCCTCCAGGAACGAAGCCACGGTGCCAACCGCCTTAACCTTCCCCCCCGCCATCCTAACCAAGTTGGTCGGCCACCCGGCGATCCCATCCATGATATGCGTAGCATAGACAATCGTGCACCCCCGAGTTTCCGACTCCTCCTTCAGGAACTCCAAAAACCTGAAGCGTGCAAGCACATCCAAATCAACCGTCACCTCATCGAGCAGCAGAATGGACCAGGGCCTGAGCAAGCCCATCGCTAATTGCACCCTCCGCCTCTCCCCGTCAGAAGCCAGATGCATTCGCCAGTCGACGTCGATGTCCAGGATGCGCACCAGCTGATCGCGCCGGTCCGGGTACGCATCCCCGCCCACGCTCGCCAGGAGCTCGTGCACGTATATATCGTTCCGCACGATCGGGTTCAGAACCCATTCCAGGCCCAGATAGGTCACGCCCTCGAGCCCGTGCGCGAATGGGTCCACGCCGCCGATCCGTATACGGCCCCGGGTTGTGAGTTTTTTGCCTGAAGCGAGGCGGAGCAGCGTCGTCTTGCCGGCCCCGTTGGCGCCGATTAGAAGTGTGCGCGAGCCGGCTGGGAGGTTGATGTTTATGTCTTGTAGTCCGATGGAGTTGTCGGCGAAGGTGTAGGTTAGGTTTTGGATGTTGATTGTTGGGGGGTGATTGGCCATTTTTGTGATTGAAGCTGGTGGTGGAGTTGGCGGATGGAATCGGTGGACGGAGTCGGGGGGGTGCCGTAGTCAGTTGTGAATCTCTAGTGCGGTTGGTGGGGTATTTATTCGCCTTTTTTTTTCTTTTTTTTTTCGGGACCGGGTTGACTCTTCGCACAAGAATCGCTTTAGCCCCCACCGCCGGTGATCACAAGGTGAGGTATCTCCATAGCCAGAGCGGTGGGTATTCCTTCTGGCTTAGTTAACCTCTCGGCAAATATTATTTAAGTATTTTTTCCTGGGAAATTATCATGTGCTAGCATTCCCCTGCTTCCACTGAAAGTTTGACCTACTCCCAAACCCAATATCTCCATGAAACGTTGAGATATCCCCATTTTCTCCCTGTTAATGTGCAGAGGATCATCCACTGTGCCATACAATAGAGCTGCAACTCTCGTCGGAGCGGTGGTCACAAGTCCTTTAGGGTCTGAAGGTGAGCGATATTTTTCTTCGCAAGGAACTCCGACTACGGATGTCCCTCAACATATTCCTAATGGGGGAAGGGGAAGTAAATCGCGCCACAGCGTATGCCGGGATTTTCTCAAATGCTATGAGTAGTACTCGAGCACAGTAATTTAATACCGTAGTACAGTAGTCTACCGGGTGTAGTATGACACGATACAAGTAGAAGAAGGGAGTTTCTCCCAGAGGGAGGAGAGATGTCATACCGGCTGCCGGTATCCGGGTGCAGCAGCACCACAACCAAATCCAACCCAACCCGACTTGTCATATCATACAAGAACCCCCTTCTCGATCGGCTCAACCTTAACCCGGAAAAGACTCACACGGCATTCATGAAACTGGAATCGTGAACGACCTACCGAGTTGCCCACGATATTAACTTCCCCATCCTTTTTACCCATCATACGGTACCCCAAGTAATCTCCCCCCCCCCTCCACCCCCCCAAATCGCTTACCAGTAATCTGGCACAGATCTTATCTCCCCGATAACAACCCCCCGGGAGAATATGTCGAAATTGCGCGCTTTCCTGACCGTATCACCTACCGTAGACTACCGTACGACCCAAAGGGTTGTCTTGCACTTTTTTCTTATTCTTCTTTTTCCCCCACCCGGAAGCGGTGGTGGTGGTTGGGTTAAGCTTTGTCTTGGCCCGAACTATGATACTTGTACAAGGGGGGGGGGGGGTTGGGGCAGCAGTCGTAGTCCGTGAGCCACCTTTGTTCCGGATTTCTCAATATCGTGGAAAACCGGAATAATTGGATGGAGTGCTATGGTATGGTATGTGCGTTGGAGTTGCCTCTTTTTTTTTTCTTTTTTTCTTTTCCCCCCTTGGAGACTTTTTCCAGGGTTGGGAATTTTCGACTACCGTACTCGTACTCGTACACGGCATAACGGTCCAATTTACCGGTACCGGTATTCGAGTTTTCTGCGGTGCGGGTACTAGCCTAATGTTCGATATTGGTTTGCAGGTGTTAGAGTGCGCCATAAGCGTGATGTGTGGTGCGCTTCTGGGGAGCACGGTGCGGGCTGAATGCTCCTCCGGGTCTTCATCCTCCCCCCCCCATCGTCCCTCTCACTCACTTCCGGTAGAGTCACCGACTCGTACAGTATCCGGACACTTTGTGAATTGGCAAGCACTCGAGTAGATTCCAGTTGGTTCATGCGAGTTTCTGTCTTAATGGGTAGGAGAGTGTCTTGCGGTCTGAGGGGGGGTACGGTGAAGGAGACTCGGTGATAGGAAGAAATAGTTCTAGAAACGAGTAGCCGGCAATTCACTGTAGTTTTCTGCTCTCCTGAGATGTTTTTTATCTCTCTCCTACTCCTCAGTGGGACCGTATTAGTACGGGTTACTTGTTGCTGCTCGTGAAGGATCCACCCGCTCTGAGCTTGGTCGTCCGGGACAACGAGGCGTGATTGTATAGGATTGGGGTTCTGTAGGGGCTTAGGGGGGAGTATGAACTCGAGTGCTCCAGTGAGGTCAAAATAGGTTAGCGCATGCTTGTGTGCTTGTATCTATTGGCATGATATCTGTTGAGACATAATGGCATACTATACCTGGCTGTCCCAGCTAGACGTGATGTTGGGGCATCTCAAAATAGTCGCACAGTGGGGGGGAATACTAGTGAGAAGCCCTGACCCCGCTTCGAGGGGATAATCTGTCAATAAACGCTTGTACAGCAGTCTGGGGATTCTGCTATCATTCCTTAGGCTCTAATCGGAATCACATGGGATCTGAACCTCACATATCCTACCCTAATACCAGCAGAAAGCTCGACCACTTAACCTCCAGAGCTCGTCTGGGTGCGGGAATCTAGCACTGGAGCTCCCTTCGCAGAGAAACAGCTATCGTACCCACTCCCTTACACCTACCCCCCCTCACGGGTACCTCCCACTACCACAGACCCAACCACACAGCACCATCCACCCACCCACCCAACAGCAAGACTCCAACCCACGACAACACCAATCCTCACCCGCCCCATATGTGCCGTATGATACGCACATCTGCCCTCGCCAACCGGTTACTAATCGCTCCAATCCCATCTGATGCACTAATAATCTGTCCGACTCGCCGCGTGACGCACACAGCGCAACACAGGTTGTAACCCCCCAAGCACCGCCAGTTGCCGCTGCCGGGGGCCGATGGGAAGGAGAGCATGCATATTACGCCCCGAGGGAGGAGGCTGAAGTGCAATTCTAGAGGCTGGGGGAGGGCATTTGAGTGTTGTGGAGGGGATTGGGCTCAGCGGCATCGCGGAGGGGAGGGTGATTTGGGGCCCGGGACGACCCCGAAGGTGCCTGAGTGGGGGTAGGCAGAGAGCAGGAGTAGGAGGGGGGGGGGATGAGGGATGATGGGGGTTTTGGAGGCGATACCTGGTAGAGGTGGTTGTGGTTGCGGGTTGTGGTCGTTAAGGGTGCTCGGTTGGAAGCGGCCGTTGGTGAGGCCACCGGCACCGCACGACGAAAGACAAATCCAGCGCAACGGGAAAGCACGGGCCTTTGGAGGCTGGGGGGGGGCTCACTGGTATTGCCTCCGTGCCCGAGTGCCGCTACCAAGGCGCTCGAGTTACCGGTACAAGTACCATTCGTGTCCAGCATCTCTACCGAAGCTCTTACGAACAATACGGTGCAAATAGAAATAGGAGAGCAAACCCCCAATACGAAAACTGTTCTCATCCCTGAGGGGCCCGCCTATGAATGATACCTACATCCTTTCTTATTCTATCATTCATACAGGAAGTGTTTGAGCCTTGCTGCAATACTCTTGTTTGGTGGTGATGCGTGTCATCCTGCTTGGGGCGGTATGCAGTATGATATATCGTGCACTGGGGATCCTGTTGCTCGACTACACTGCTGGCACATGTTGAGCGAACTGCACTGGGGGAGCGTACAGCCTGCACATCCGCATAAGTCTCTCTTCTCTTGCCTTTCTGTTCACTTTTGGATCTAACTCGCAACTGCTCTTCCCTTCCCTTCCCTTCCCTTTCCTCCGCCCCAAACTGTCTTCTATAGATCAAAGGCGCTCCTCGACCCGACAGGCGCCGAGAGAGAGACCCCCGAATCACTATCAATTCGTTCTTTTTTTCACAAGTACTGCAAAAGGATTGCAACGCTGCAACACCTCACGCCAGCTTCCCATAGGCGGGCACGCACGGGTCCGGTTGTCCCCCCCCCCCCCCCAAAACCTCGGAGCTCCATTCTGAGGTATGCTCCTATCTCCAAATCTTCGAACACGAAACCGCTGCCAAAAATCGTTATACGTTAAAACCCGTAATTAGTACTATCGCTAGTACTTATGAGTCGTGCCGACCCAAATTATGGTCAGTTCCGACGCAGTCTTGTAAACGTGAGTAGACGCTCTTTCTTTAAATCCTCTGGCACCCTTCAACGGCGGGGCATGTGCTAAGATGATCGGTTTTCCTTTCTTATTCTTCCAAACAGGGAGTTCTGAGCCTGGAGGTTCCATTACTTGACGAACCGGCCGGTGAAACTGGATATCACCTAAATACCACTACTCATGGATCCGGGAGCACTATTCTCGGTGAATTCTCCTTGAACAATTTCTCGAATATCTCTACACCCTACGACTCGATAAAACATGAGGAGCTTTTCTCAAGTGCCCCAGAAACACTCTCAAATCCGGAAAACGAAATATCGAGATATCTCACACCCGGGCCCTATACTGCTTCGAAATCCACAGCATCGAATTCTAATACTCTCGCTCGCACTCCTTTGCCCTCATTTGAGTCATATGTTGAGCACGGAAAACATGGGACCTCTACTAGCTCAAAGAGATGTAGAGAGACCGCAGGGAAAAGTAGTAGCCAGCAAGGCCCCGCACAGAAGCGGGCCAGAAAAAACCGTGCAGCCTCTGCCGTACGAAGCAATAGCGGCAGGGACGCTGGAGGTGGAGGGGACGAGGATGAGGAGGATGAGGAGGAGGATGAGGATGACGAGGACGATGAGGAAAGTGACGAAGACGATGGACATCTTATGAACTCTGGTTCAAAGGAGCAACGTGCCCTCCCGTGTCCCATGCCCAGCTGTGAAGGCAAGGACAAGCTATTTGAAACTTGGAATAACCTCATGTGAGCCACTTTTCCCCTCCTGGGTGATTCCTGAGTTTTGCTCACGCTCTATGGTATAGCCAACACCTGCAGAATACCCACATTAAGGGGTTTAGTATTTGTGAGCGGGGTTGCGGGCAGCGCTTTGGGCTCTCGAGCCAGTATACTCGCCATGTCTTCAAACGTAAAAAAGATTGCAGACCGCTACCATCGAGTGGTCTCCCTCGGAGGATACCTGCGCTGGCCTTAGATTTCAATCATGCCGTTGGAAAGGTGAAGGGCCAAGATTACGCAAGACTGAAGCGAGTCATCGCGGAGCACGAGTACTATGATCTGGAAGGTATTTATATACACAATATCTTGGAGAGCACCTTTTCATCCTTGCTGACCTGGATCGAGATCCTGATCATTCTGCTCATCGTTTAGAACCTCCTAGTCATGGTGCGAGCAGCCGGGGCTCCCATCAGTACAATCTGCAAGGGCAACAGGTGCTAGATTGGGCAGATAAAGTCATCAGGCTGGTTACAGAGCACCATAGGACTTGCCAGATGCATCCTCATACTTATCCGCCGTCCAGTGGCCCTGCCCCGACAGACGCTCAGCTTAGCGGTTCATCGGGGTTCATCGGAAGCCGGCAGACTTCACAAAATCCGATAGAACCTGCGATACCATCACCGCTCAATCAACCCACTGCTCGTCGACCTGGGGCATATGGTGCGCAGCCCTCGGCTGCTGCTACATATCTTCCGGGTTTTCAGAATGGATCTAGTGCTAGTCTACCAGGAAACTACCGCTCCTCCAACCGTTTTACATCGCAACCAGGTCAGGGTACCCAGGGTGGGGGTTTTGCGCGACCGAGCGCCGGCAGTAAGAAACCTCTCGAGAAATCTTCTTTCATCACCTATTCTAACCTTTCTCTGCAGACTACTATCCAGTGATGGAAAGTGATTACATGAGCCAGTATCCAACCCATGCCAGCAGTTATATCGATAACAATGTCCGTTCAAACCGCACGGCCCCGCCATCGGAGCTAGGCCCTAGCCCTTTGGCACCGGCACCTGGGTACCCCCTTCCGAGTGCTACCTATGGAAGCGGAACTGGCAATGCTCCTCGTTTTAATAGGGGGTCTTAATGTATGAAACTCTCTCTTTTTTTTTTTCGGTGAATACTTCAACAGCCTGTCTCTGACTACGGGGTCAACTAAAGCCAGTCTAAATGGTAGTCATTAAAGAACCGGCAAATTATTCGGCCATTCCACATTCGCTTTTATCGCGCTCCCCTTTGTAATTCCCTTACGCCTAAACGATTTACGATTTGGCCCCTTTATTAACGATTTCCTTCACCCGTGGACCATATGGTATGTGTTCCTACCTTTCGCTCCCTGATTCTACGGTAGGAAACCACCCTCCTTTTTTGGCATAAAGTTGCCTTTTGCTTTGGTGGTTGGGAACCAAAGTTCCTTTATTGTCTTCCTTTCCCTTTTCCTCATCCTTTTCCTTTGTTGCGTGTCCCGGCTGGCGATGGCAAAGGGGTCAGGCTGGTGGAGTTGGGTACACTCCTTGCTTTCGGACAACGGCGGAAAGGGCATAGATCTTTCACAAATCTCGGGGAAAAAAAGGATAGGTATAGACAGGTAGAGGAGCGCTCTATTAAAGGAAAAGCAAAGCGTCCATACGACTTTCTGAAGCTCGCGGATCTTTCGTTATGCCCCTCGTTTTTCATTCAATGTTTCTTGTATGTATTATAGTCTGAGAAAATGAGAAAACATGTACATGGTAAACCTCACTCGCCGTGCCCGGGTGGACCACCGTATCTCCAACTCTCTCCGGCGAGGAAACCTTTTCAGTCCCGCAGTCTACCCATACTCGGGTAGTCTACCATTCACAGATGGGCCTGGGGAGCCAGCAGACACTTGCATGGGGAGCCGGGAAGGGTGGGGTGGAATTGTGCGCAGTGCGACCACTCATGCTTCAGTACGGCGCGAGTAGTGTGCACGGGCAATTTGTAGTGTGCAGCGCCAATCAAGCCTCACCACCAGGTGGGCACGTGGTGTCCAAGCTGTCGTCCCAACCGGGAAGCCAAGCCAGGCTCAAATACTAGTAATGATACGGGACAGTACACAGTACTAGTACTCGAGTACACCGCCTACGTCATGTCTCACCCGGAAGTTTGCTCAAGGCAGGCTGCTCGAGTAGATTAACTGTAAAACCCGGAAACAATCCCCATTCCAACCTCCTCTCGTATCACACCCCGGGAAAACAACCAGGATCCATCCCCCCCCTTCCCTTCCCCTCGCCAGCGGAAGACATGAACCGGGAGCTCTGCTCCTTCCTGCGCCAGCCGCCTGATGGCCGCCTCCGCCTGCTGCCGAAATTCTACTCCGCCCCTTCGTCCTGGGGCAGTGTGAATGTTTCGAACCGGCCGCTCACCGATTGGCGGTGGGGGAGGAGACACACGAGCACTGTTGGTTTGCAGAAGAGCGGATTCATAGACCTGGCCCCCGGTGAGGGGTTGTTGTTTTTCGATAGTTCGTGGATGGAACCTTCACCTCTATCATCTCTTGATGGATATGCTGTGGCTAATGGATTCGGAAAGATGTCTACCCCCTAAAAACGGCCATCTACGACATCCGCCACCTGATAATGCGCTACGACAAGCAATCCGTAGAATCACGCATCCGAGCACAGTACATCCCGGAGAGCCTCCTCGGCTCGGAATTCGCCATAACGGGAATAGTCCCAAGGTTGAAAGATGGAGGTGCATTCGTCAAGTTCCGCTCGCCGGACGTGGAAGAGACGGGGGCCGTCATTGCGGATTTCCTCAAAGAGAAGAAATTGAAGCCTTGGTTCTCGCCGCTCAAGCGGGTTAGAGCGTTCATTGTGAGGGGGAACCCGTGGTTGGAAGACTTGTATAGGTTTCCGAGCACGAGGTTGAAGGTGGAGTTTGTCGGTGGTGAGGGGAGCCTTAGCCAGGAGGCTACATATGCGCTCTTTAGGCGGTACGGGAGGATTGTTGACATACTCCCTCAACCGCCAGGATCCAAGGAATTGCCAAAGTTTACGATTGTGCAGTACCTCCGTATGCGTAGTGCTACGGCAGCGAGGAATTGTCTGCACGGGTACACGGTGCCGGAGATGGAGGCTGCCCTTAGGAAGGAGCCCGGTGTGACATTAAGAATTCTATACGAGAGGGCCATCAAGACCCATTGGATAAAGGATTGGCCGGTCAACCACCCGAGAATTGTGATCCCACTGGTAGCAGCGTTCATAGCAACATTCACCGTCGCCGTGTTCGACCCCGTGAGGACCTGGTTCATCAAGGCGAAGATCACTGGCGCCTTGAATATTTCTGACAACACATACTATAATTGGTTGAAGAGATACACAATCGGGATGTTACCCATCGGGTCTAGGCACACGGACATGGGCGACTTATGGGCGGTCTGGGATGAGCGAAAGGAACAAGTCGAGCAGTTGAAGGCATGGCTGTTGGAAACGGCGGAGACCTTCATCGTCGTGCAGGGTCCCCGAGGGTCCGGAAAGAAGGGCCTGGTGGTCGACACGGTGCTGGCACATAGGGAGAATGTCCTCATCATCGATTGTGAACCCATCAACGAAGCGCACGGGGATAGTGCAACTATCGCCGCAGCTGCAGCGCAGGTTGGGTATCGGCCTGTATTCTCATGGCTGAACACCATCAGCAGCCTGCTGGACCTGGCAGCGCAGGGAACAATCGGGAGTTCGGCAGGATTCAGTCAGACACTGGAAACACAGTTCAATAAGATTTTGCAGAATACCGGAACGGCGCTCAAGGAAGTAGCACTTCGGGGCAAGGGTTACGACAATAAAGACCCAGGACTCAGCGACGATGAGTACCTCAGCGGACACCCCGAGAAGCGCCCCGTAGTGGTTATAGATAATTTCCTGCATATGGAAGGCAATAGCTTAATCTACGAACGTCTCGCGGACTGGTAATTACTTCATCCCCCTCCTCCTCATAAACCATCACTCGGCACTAACCCTCCTCGCTTGATAGGGCCGCACTCCTCGTCTCCGCAAACATAGCTCACGTAATATTCCTAACAAACGACACCTCTTTCAGCAAATCGCTCGCGAAATCCCTCCCCGATCGCGTCTTCCGCTCAATCCTCCTCGGCGATGCCCAACCCGATCCTGCAAAGCGCTTCGTGCTGAAGCACATCAGCAACCAACTCGACGGCGCCGCCAATGGGAAGGCCCGTGCGGAGCTCGACGACAGCATCCAAGCCCTGGGCGGCCGCCTAACAGATCTAGAATTCCTCTCACGCCGCATAAAAGCCGGCGAGACACCGAAGCAAGCCGTCGGCGCAATCATCGAAACCTCGGCGCAGGAGATCCTCAAGCTCTACTTCCTTGAGGAAGCCGGCCGTGGCCGCAAGCGCACCTGGAGCACCGAGCAAGCCTGGCATCTCGTCAAGACGCTCGCGGAGAAGGGTGAGATCGCCTACCATCACGCACTCGTCCACGACCTGTTCAAGTTTGCTGGCGAGGATGCGCTGCAGAACTTGGAACAGGCTGGGCTCGTCACCATAGTAACGAGGAATGGCCGCCCCTGGTGTGTCAAGCCCGGGCGCCCCGTGTTCCAGGCTGCCTTCAAACGCCTTTTGACGGACCGCGTGCTGTGCGCCCGCATGGACTTTTTGAGCTTCGCTTCGCTGGCCAAGGTGGAGACGGCAGCCATTCAGAGGGCGGGCGAGGAACTCGAGAGGATTGCCGGGCTGCCGTATCGGCCGAAGGAGAGGGTGGGATATCTGCTCGCTAAGATCGCCGAGGCGCAGACCAAGATTGACGAGTATGAGAAGGGGATGGGAAGGTTGAAGGGGGTGCTCAAGGAGGAGTATTAACTCTGCTGAGGCAGGGTAATATAGATTTTTTTATGCGCTTCCCGTATTACTAATGGGGACGGGGGTAGTATGATGTATGATACGGTAGTTTAGCCTAGACACCGTCCCATGGGAAAATCTAGCGGAGGGCACAAATACCCTACCGGCACTTCACTTTACCCTACGCTACCGTACTTGCCCCAACGAATAGCGTGGACACCACTATCGCTTGGCTAGCAATGAACGAGTGACTGTTTGTGAGCCCCGCTTATGGGAACAGTGGCCTAATCAAAGGGCCCAGCTTGCGCAACGATAATCGAAAGTGCAAAAATAAAAGACGGGCCACACCCAATTTTGTGTTAGATAACGTATGATATTCGTCAACACCCCCCGTCAAATACCGGTACGAGACAAATACCACCCCAACGAGCGAAAGGCAAAACCCGCCCAGTAGAAGATTTCAAAAATGAAAATCTCGTAACTTTGTGGGGGGGGGGGGGAAGAGAAAGGAAAGAAGGAACCAATGTGACAATAGGGAGAAGCGAGGGGTAAGTGAAACGATACTAAAAGCCTATTGTATTGGTACGCGATGTCCAGCGGTGCCGTCCAATGCCCACCCTCCCAATCCACTCGCCGTTTACTACTGTAAGTGACGCCGCAGCTATCGCCGCCCTTCTCCCCCCCCCCCATGTCCAACCTACAACCAAACACAACCCCACCCACTCCAAAAGAAAAAAGAAGAAAGGAAAAAAAGAAAAAAAAATCTCCCTCCTTACAACGAAAGACTATACGTATAATCATCCTCGATATTCTGCGACACCCACAACACAATACAAGAAAGCATAACAGAAGCGCTCCCCATAACCCCCGCCACTCCAAAACCGAGAGTGGGCCAAGGATACCCGGGCACGACGTACTTCATCACGAGCACCGAAGCGGCCCCGGCGAGCCCACCAGCCATGAGCGCGAGCCCAATGAAGAGCACCGATCTCGCCTTCCACGTGACGTCATTACCGCTGTGACTGAAGGTGTTGGCGTTGAGTCGACTGCGCTCGATGGAGTTGATGACGAGCATGCCGAGGACGCTGCAGATCAGCGGGATCCAGTCCACGATGGTGATGTGCACATCGCCGCCGCTCGCGTGCTTGCTGTAGACTGCGGCGTCCAGGAGGAGGAAGAAGCCGAGGGAGAACTGGACCGTTGGTTTGGGGCGTTAGTTTTTGTGTGTGTGTGTGGTAGGGGGAAAAAGGGGGGGGGGGTTACAAGGGCTCCGGAAGTGTATACGCCTGCAGAACGGAGGACGGGTGAGGATGGGAGTTTGGGAACTGGGAAGCGGCAGAGACGGGGCATGACTGGGTCTTTTTTCTTTCCTTTATCCGGCTTTCCTTCTTGTTTGGTGGTTTGTTTGCTTGCCGAGTTTTCTGGGTATGGTGTTGAAGCTCGCGAGGCGATGTTTAGCGATGATGGTGGGGGGGGTTGGCTTTGGCAAGGTTAGGTTGACATGATGATCTGAGCCCCGATGGAAAGACAAAGCAATTGTTAGATTATGTCTTGGCAATCACATCTTATCACTCGGCCACGTCGTCCAATCAGGTTAATTCGGATAAACTAGGGGCAGTCCACTAATAGCCTCTACAAAAGTCCCGAAAACAGTACCATATGTGGCACAAATATGCATTCAGAAGGAAAACATGGCAGCCCCTAATGTAACAGCCGTACGCTCCGTTTTACCTGCCCCGAAACAAGACCGAGAACCAAAAAGAAACAAGAGGAAGTGAAAAACATAATGCGCCCCGAAAAAATGACTTTTGTCTTGAAACCAGGAAAGGAGAATTACTAGGTCGTTGTATAATAGGGAAGAGAACACGAACAGCGGAAAATATAAAAAAGAGACCCAATAGCTCTCTATGCTCCCAAGCTCTCCTTAGGGACGAATGCCGCGACCGTGCCAATAGTTGCTACTATAGTGCAAACTACAATCAGGATCTGGTTCACCCTACGCTCCTTCTTTGGCACTTCCTCTCCGTAAATTTTGAGGTAGAACATCATGGGGAGGATGACGCAAATTGAGAAGCAGAGTGCAGATCCGAGGAAAGCCATGATTCGGTCAAAGGATGGGACAAGGATCGCAATGACAACGAAGGAAGCGTTTACGCCGACTGCAGGCAAAGTCAGTCGCTCGCTAATAATCAGAGGGCGCGGGGGGACTACTTCTGATAAGGGTCTTCAACAAACCACAGGCTAATCCAGACATTCCAACAAATTCCCCTTGCAAAGTCATAGCTCGAGGATCAACACCAGCGAAGATCTCAAGAGTGGTAACGATTGGACGTGCACTGAAATCTGGTTAGTATTGTGGGTAGAGCGATACGGGGCGACTGGGACATACTTCAAAGGAGTCTTGGTCAACGGAATAATCGCAACGAACCCCACCATGGCCATGCTGAGGGCGGAAGGGTACCCGGGAAGCTCCAAAATATTTGAGGTAATTTCGTCCATCACTCCGTCTCCAAACATCAATATGCCGGTGATAGCGAGGGTCATATCAAGGATGAACTAAGACTAAATCAGAATGAACACACACTGCTTTATCCCGGGGAACGCATACCGTAAAGGAGTAGGTGATGTCAACAGCCTTGTTGTACTTCTTCGGGTGGCGCATATCTTTATAGATGTTCGGGAACACGCTGTGGCCTCCCCAAGGGGCTAGTTGCCCGACAAATATCAGCATTTTTGGGCTCAAGGCCGAAGCGATTCGGGCAACTTACACATGAGCAAGCCAAAGCTCAACGGTATCGTCGACCAGCTTGGGGGGAATAGATAGGTAGGCATCGGCTCCCTCAAGCTCCCAGGGGCATTAGGTTTCAACCAGCCATCAACAAAGATAATCGTAACAACTGGTTTTGCGGCCGTTAGAGTGCTTCACAAACCCCTCGCATCTACGCAGGGAGCAACTCACTGCTGAAAGTAGAGAGAATCCCCAGGATACTGCTGAAACTCAACACCTTCAAGGGCAGGAAGCTCAACGGAGTCAACACAAAGCCCGCAATAATCTTCCACTGCAGCTTATCGATCTGAGGGAATAGTGCATTCAAACTATCCGAGAACAGGACAACCAGCGCAACGCACGCCGCCATCAACTCCATCGAGAAGAGGATCGAAACGCATACCCGTGATTTGTGTCCATAAGCAATGTAGGCAATATCGGAATAAGTTACCAACGACTGATTAGGGGACTTGTCAAGGCAGCGGGAGAGAAGCTTTCCGGTGTAATTCGTTATCAGGGCGGAAAAGACCAAGAATATTAACCCTATCAGCCTATATCACCCAAACCCCTGTCAGCTCATTCCGATGCAAGATAGGCAAGTTAACGAGTCAACCTACCACCCACTGTAACGCAAACCAAGAGGTAGGCTCAAAAGACCGATCCCGATAAGGACGTTAACGCTATTGAAGACAGTTTGGGGTAGTGTGCTCTGCCCAACAACGGTCTGCTCGACCCTTCCACTTTCCGTTGTAACGGCCCTTACAAGGAGCGGCTCCCTCTCTTTATCCAGAGTCTCATCCACAACGACTACCTCACCGGCAGTTTGCTTCTGGATGAACAAATCTGCGGCGCGTCTGGTGGCCGTATCATCCAATCTCGCTCCGGGAAAACCCGTGCCAATACCCCCATACCTGGAGATCGAGCCATAAGATCCAAAGCCAGCTGCGGGCGGGGAAGCCCTCGCGGCGAGGTGTCGGGTGACCTCGACGTCGTCGTAATAGCTCTCGTCATCTATTGCTGAGGATGAGGCAGGCTCTTCCTCGTCCCTGGAGGGATCGACGGAAACGAAGGATTGCCGGGACGGCGTGATCTCAAAGTAGCCAGCAGCTCTAGTCCAAGAGCGAGCAAAGTTGTCCAGGGAATTCACGCCTCCTGCGTAGCGAATCACATCCAAACCCAGTGAAAGGGAGGACCTGGTTTCCAGATGTTTGCAGTGAGCTTAGATCCCAATGGCGGGGAAAGGAAAAGCAGTGGAAGGTTAACCCCGGAACGCTGTGTTCCGTTGATACCGGAAAGCAGAATGATTGGGCGGAAGCATACCTTCGCGGCCGTAAACCTTGAGGAGGGATATCTACATTAGGAGAGCTTGAAGATGGCGAGATATCATGGACAGGAGGGCATGCACCCAGAACAGGTGTCCGAGGCCCGGAGGAGAGGATTTCTTCGTCGTTTTTGGCCGAATAACTCATGAAAGCTAGGAATATTGAGTGCAATCGCTCTTCACAGTAGTAGTAGTAGTAGTAGTGGTGGTAGTAGTAGTAGTACAATGGTAGAAACAATTCTCACACCTGAGCTGCAGAATGGACGATAGCGGCAGCAGCAGGAGGACTGGGAGCAGCAGATAAATGCTGAGTAGAAGAGAGGCGGTAACAGTTATTGTGGTTGGCGGTGGGGAAAAGAGGGAAGGGGCAAGAGATATCTATCGAATTTTCAATACGGTAGTCCTACCACCCAATTGAAGCGGTCCCGATATAAAAAATATACCGAGAGCAGACGGACACACCCACCTTGCCGGAAAGGAACGAAGAGCACCCCAACAGCCACAGAACCCTACCGGTGCTCCTCCAGTAGCATAGCAGCGGGGGGGGGTAGGGGGGTTGGAATTATGGAAAGGTGGGGAGGGGCGTGGGAGAGGGGGGGGGGGGGTGAAGGGTTGGAATATGAAATCCGACCCTTGCCATAATGGTCGCCCTAACTACCGGTATATCTGGCCGGTCTACGGTTCATGGTTTCATGGCCCCTAGCGAAAAGGTGAAGGCGGAAGCAATTCTGAAAAGAGAAAGAAGAAGAAAAAAGAAAGAAGAAAAAGCTAGTTCAATTGAAGGATCTTCGGCTACTGCCCTCTTCGTTCTCGGATCCCTTAATCATTCCAAACTTTCTATGATGTGTTCAGAGTGCCAGTGACAGGCAGGCCGAGGGGAGCCACGATTAGAGTTTCCTCCCACCATGCCCTGGGGAGGGAGGGGGTTCAGGAGTGTAAAAATTATATGGATCGTAGGGTAGGTGACAGTGGCACAAAAGGGAAGGAGTTGTTGCGGGTTGCTGCAGAGTGCAGGCTAGGGGATTGTCAGGGTCAGGGCAGCAGGCAGGACAGAGGGCGAAGGAAAGGCCAAGATAGGGAGAGGGAGAGGGAGAATGTGAGGAGGAAGCGGGACTGGGAAACCGCCCGGCGGCCGTTGACATACTAGATCCATAGCCTCCTGGGGTCATCTCTCCACCTTCTCCAGCTAAACTGGCCACCTGCTCCGGACTTCTCACTTTCCTCTCGCAGCTGCAGCACGCCAAGTGGCGAGGGAATGGCGCGAGCGAGGGAGAGAGAGTGAGAGAGAGAGGTATATGACATCAAGACCTAAACAGAGACCCTCTGATGGATCCAGCCATTCAGAGCTTGTAGCACCCGATGAGTTACCCCAGTCGTGCGCCTCAAGCCTCTCACTGTATCTCGCGACGCCCTGACCCTGCTTGATGGAGAGGAAGGGAAGAAGGAGAAAAAATAAAAAAAACTGCCCCCCAATAAACCACACCCCAGCTTCCTAACCACCGGGAGCAATCTGTGGAAATAGAGTATATCATTCATCACCATCGAGCATTCTTGCTTCATGTCGGTTGTTTCGTTTCCAAACCGAGGGATCAAGAAAAAGGAAAGGGAAGGGAAAAAAAAACTCCCCAACTCGTCTACCCCCCCCTTCCTCCTCCTTCCTATTCCCTCCACATCGGGCTCAAAGGAGGGAGAAAAAAGGTGAGAACAAAAATAAAATAAAAAAACGATATATCATCCCCTTCCAGATGCGCACTTAAAATACCTTTTTACTTTTATTTTTATTTTTTCCTGTATTTTTCATCGTTCATCAGCAGCCGGTACTTCTCCTTTTCATACATCTAACGTCCACATCTCTTCAACACCTATTTCCTTTTTCATTGTCACGTTCTGTCTCCGCACCAACTTGCATAGCAGACTTTTCGGTAGCATCGCGGAAATTGTCCTTTTTATTTCCTTCTTTCCCTCTTTCTTTTTTTTTTGCGACCCACCGGGAACGAGGCCCATTTTCTCCCCTTCCTTCTCACAGTGGCCCCCCCCCAGCTAAAATGTGATTGTTCAATACGGGAGGGTAGCCAAACAATTGTTGCTGTAGCGTTGTGAAGCAGAGAGGAAGGAGGAAGAAGCAAAAAATAATATCACAACTTCTCACCGTTTCGGCAATTGGAAGTGAGGCATGGAGAGAAGGAGAAGGAAGAAAGGCAACCCACTGACCAACCCCCCTCCCCTCACCCTCCCTCTTTGAGGAATGACAGGGCTGCACTGCCCTGTCTTGTATCGAATAGACCTGAATTGAAGGAATGGTTGGCGATGCTTAGCCACCTGCACCCCATATATACTCGTATCATGCAATCTGTTTCCATTTGCTTCTGCATTCTGCATTGTGCGGTCCATGCGGTGGATAGAGTACAGCATAATTCGGTCCAGTGTGCGGTATGTGTGGTGTAGTCTTTCGGGTCCAAACCGACTCCCTTACGGGTACCATACCGTGTCATAAGTTATCTCACCCATATCATATGATCACAAGCACAGAGGAGAGAGAAGAAGAAAAGGAAATAGAAAAATAAAATAAAAATACCATGTAACCCGAAACCCCCCCCTCTTTCCCATGCAATTGACTCTTTCCTCCTCCACCGCCGTCGCTCCTACAGTCACGATGGATAATATAGACGCAATCCACTCGAGAAGTGGATCAACTTTCGATCAAGGGCTGAGCAAGCCTGTGAGCAAGAAAAAGGGGCAAAGCAACCCCTCCCCCTCTCCCCCAATCCCAGAATATTTGAGGAGAGGAAAAAAGGATTTAAGAACTATGATACTCGATCCTGCATACCGGTACTGCAAGTGCCCACTAAGCCCTACTCCCTCCGCCATTCATACCCTCATTATCATTTCCACCGTCGCCACCATCACCACCGGTGAATTACAATCGGAACATCGGGAAGTGGCAAACATTAATCTGTTATACCGTACCGTGTCGTAGAGAAGGCTGCTGGGGTAAGGATGATAATCTTACCTACTGTGCGGTAGCGGTATTCTGCTTGTACCAAACTGCTCATGCTGTTGCAATGCCAGCACCTTCCTTCCCTGTGAAAAATTTTCATTCCAACTCTCCCATTCGCTCAAACCTTGCATTTCGAGATCAGATGAAACTCTTGAGATTACATTAGACCCTATCATTCGGTCCCGACTAGTAAGTATGGTACGCTCAACCGAAAAAGAGCGAAAAAAAGAACTGTTTGCTACCGTCATGGTTTGAAAGAATGCTCAAATTTTGCTGAAAACGCCCCCGCCCGTGATCCGCGCATCCGGACCACTGCGAGCAGAGCTCATGGCGGGGCAAGATTTTCCTGGAAAGTTCCCATTTCCGGGCATTATTGGAATTCCCTTTCCTCACGAGGGAATGGGGGACACCAAAGACGCAGATGGGGGTAGGTACCGTATCCTACTGGTCGTCCAGCGAAGAGGGGGTAGGACTCGGTTGTACTTGTATGATGGGTTCATATCATACAAGCACCAGCAGTGGTGCGGCTCAGTGAGCTAGTGGTTAGGGTTCGGAGTGTGGAACAGTAAAATTTGACCTCGCTTCACCTGGCCCCGTAGATATCATACTGTGATCAAGCGGGGGCGTTGAAAATCAATCACGCCCTTTTTTTTCTTCTCTCTTTTCACTTTTCACTTTTCCTTTTCCTTTTTCTCGGTGGGCTGAGCGAGCGAGGGCAAGCACCTTTTGGGCTTCCGTCATTTGTATTACAAACCTTCCCGCCTTTACGTCTCGTTCTCCTACAATACTCGAGCACTCGAACTGCAAAAGTGAGTGGCATCGGGTGTTGGGTGCAGCTGGGTTTGTGCTTTTTCAGAAATCGTTCCGACCATTCTCCTCCCAACCAACCAAAACGCGGGACAGATACACACCTGCGCTTGCCTACATCACCCATCAGCCTACCGGCCGCCTTCTTCCCAGCTTTTGACGACGCTCGGTCGGCTGCCTGCTCGCTCGCCGCTCGCCCGCCCGCTTGGAAACCGCTATCGGCTATCGAACCCCACCTCCCCCCGAGCGTTATCTGAGGCTATTATTCACCCCGCACAGTAATGGATCTCCTATCCGGCCTGCGCAAGGGCGATTCCTCGCGTGGCGGTCGGGCTGAGTTTAAATGGGAGGATGTTAAGGAGGATAAGGATCGTGAGAACTATCTGGGGCATTCTCTTATGGCCCGTGTGTAACCCTCTCTCCCCATCCCTTTCCACCGCTTGTCCCTTCCTCCCCGCCCTCGCCATAACTTCTCCTATCAATGCTATATATCTATCTGCACCGCTCCCCCCACTTTTTTTTTCTTGCCATTCTCTACTCGACTGACCAGCCAACCGATTGATTTTTAGCTGTTGGCCGATGGCAGAAAAACAAAGACCTGACATGGTACGCCAAATCCGGGGCTGGTGAGATGTCAGCCGAGGAAGCTCGAAAGGAGGAGATCCGGAAGATCAAGGAGGCGGAACAGGATGCTCTTAGCGAAGCCTTAGGATTCAAGCCTGTCAGGAGACCTATGGATCCAGTTGACCAGGATGAGGTTAAGAGGGCCATTAAGGCGTCCGGGGATGACAATGAGGAGGGTGGGGGAGTTGGCTTTGGGAAGAGAACTGGAAGGAGCATTCCCGATGGTACGTCTGGGGGAAGGGGTGAGGGAGATGGTGTGAAAAGAGAGTTTAAGCCCACGGAGAAGGAGAGGTGGAGAGAGCGTAGTGATAGATGGGAGCGTAGCAGAAGCAGGGGTAGGGATGATAGGGATAGACGTAGACACCGGGACAGAGACAGGGGGGGAGTGAGGGAAAGGCGGCAAAGAAGCAGGTCTAGGAGTCGAGATAGGCACCGGCATAGAAGGGACCATGAGGATAGGGACGGGCGGAGAAGGAGAAGCAGGTCGAGAACACCCAGAAGAGATGATAGAGGTCATTCCCGGAGATGAAGGACGCCTTGCCGTCATGTTCTTATTACTGTAGTTCTACGAGTGCGGCCGATAAATATATTCGTCACGTGTCTTATCTAAGGACGAATCGCAGCCAAAAGGTGCACCAAAACTTTCTTATCAGACTCACGTGACGAATATATCTATCGGCCGCACTCGTAGAAGCACAACGCACCCCTATCACGTCCTTGTCGAGAGTGCCTCCGCGGGCCTAGTGTTTGGTGAGGACTTCGGCTGGATTTGGGCTGGCGGAGTCATTCTTGGCAGACTTGTGGGGCAGTGGTGGATTTAAAGGATTCATATGGTACTCTTCTTTCACTGTCTGTCTACCATTGTCACACGAGCCGGGCAGCAGAGGTATGATAACAAATCATAAGAATTCATAGTGTAATTCGTCTAATAATAATAAAAACCCTATACCCACCCACCCACCCAAGAGTTCACACTACGGTACTTAAATTAGCATAACTACAGTATATAATTGGAACAGAAAATACCCTAAAAGCAATCTTTCCCATTACCCCTAACGCAGGCCTCAAACTTGGCTAATTCTTCTGTCGCAGTATGACGTTTCTTTGGGTCCTCGATGCTAATGGAAACGGCCGTGGATGTTATACCCTCAGCCAATCGGATCCTCCTCGTCAGGTCATCTCGGACAAAATCGATCTTGGCATTGGTAACATCAAGTCTGCCATTGATATCGACCTTGGTACCTTCCAACTTGCGGTTCGTAACCTCCAACTTTCGATTGATGACGCGGACGTTCAGCATGGTCGAGGTACCGTAGAACAAAACATTGTGGTAACCGGCGCTGCAAAATCCTTGGCTAGCTCTTGATAAAACACATTCGTCAACCAATTATCAGATGAAGATAAGACAGAAGAGAAAAATGGGTACGGTATACTTACGATAGAAGGTGTGATGGAAGAAAGATGACATGATGATATTCAGGGCTTTGCTCGAGTCAAGTTTGCAATTCGGCAGGGGTGAGAAAAGATCGAGGTTGGAAAAATGTGGGAGGAGGAAGACCGATTGGTGTTTTCGAGACCGTGGTAACCGGGACACTCTAGGAGGTGGAGAGGAAGAGGTTATCACCATGTAGGTGCAGCGGCCTCCGTGAGGGAAACCAGGACTCTACCATCTTCCTTCTAGGCTATGTTTCTAGGGAGTGACGATGACGAACGGGCAAAGAGCCTACTTTCCCGGCCCTTTTCAGAAATCCAACAAGAAGTTGCTATGCCAGAAGTATCCTAACCACATACTTTATTACCTTTAACCTAATCGCACAACTGAACCCGTGAGTAGTAGATCTTTTACTCCTACGGTAGCCGCATTCCCCAACCGCTAGAACATACCGGAGGAGCTACTGCGCCAATGTGGCCCGGGAAGGATGGATTATCTGATCGAGCTTCGCCAAGCCATCGGAAAACCCTTGGAACTGTAGCCGGCCATGGGCACCAAAGGCAAGGACACGACATGTTACCCTTGAACATTGACTCGGCGGGGGCTATCGGAAACGGATGAGCAAGACGAACGGTGAACGAACGGCGGTGTGAAGTAACCACGCAACAGAACTAAATGAATGCGTGATGGGCTGTGAAACGAAATGCCATGCTCTCTTTCACGTGAAAGCATCGCACATCTCACAAGGGGGGAGAGAAAACTTTGCACTTCTCCAACCGCACTTTCCATTGCGCGCCCCCTCTGACTAACCAATGGTAAAGACAGGAGTATATAACGACGAGACAAAAAATGCCTGACTCCTGACCTCCTGCCCTTCCGGGTACGTCGTCTGCGCGCTTGGCAATCAAGAAAAGCTGGCCGTCCTTTTTATTTCTTCTCTGCCTCTGACGTTCGGTCTGGTAGCCAGTATGGCATTGAATGCCCTGCTATCATTACTTCTCTGCGTACAGTACTCAGCTTAATAAGTTGACCGGAATAGCTGATGCTCCAGATAACTTACAAAAGTGGTGGCAAACATCTGATTTCCCATCATCCTCTGACCCATGATGAATTGGAAATGTTAGCAGGAAGGAGGGTGATGTCTAAACATTAGCATTTCGATACCGTAGGAACTCGCTAAATTGGTTAAGGCAGATATCAATTTAATCACTCTAGTAAACCACAATAGACCGATCAGTATAGTTTAGGGAGATAATGAATACTAGTTAATGAGATCCAGCTAGCTTAGGCCCTCCCAGATATACCCTATCTGGAAGGCACTACACCCTCTGGGTGCATGTTTACTCTGATCAGGGGGAGCCGAGCCCGAGGCCGATCCCCTCTGCCCAATTTCACGAGTTTTTATGGCATGTTGTAAATGCGATTGAAACTGCGTCCTGTTGATATAAAGGAGAGGTTGAGGTCCAAACCGAGGGAAAAGTACACGTGAATAGAGCTTTATCAAGCTACGGTTACCCTGCTACTGACTGAATTTTTCCTGACATGGTTGCCAACTATGGGTATTGTGTATTGATTTGTAGTAAAGCTTTTAGTGATATGATAATATTATAGTCTAAGAGGATGTTTGGCATACCATGATTTGGATTTCAAAATCGGGTCTTGGCAATTTTAACACACATTATTACAACTGTTATACTTAATCCTACCCTGTTTTTACAAGTTGTAATTTGAGTTAAAATTGCCAAGATCTGATTTTGAAATCAAATCATGGTATACCAAATACCCTCTAAGATGGTTACAGCATCAGTATCATCATACCAGTTCTCAAGTATGCAGTCTATGGACCATAGGATATTGTTCACCTAAGCAATAAAGAACCAATACTGTTAGCAGCCTGAGGGTTTTGATATATGATTAGTATTCTTATAGTTTTGTGGTAGAGAGTGTAGTAGCTGATAGATAAATTAGTTGTATGTTATTAGGAGGTAGGAAACTCTAAAGTCAAGTGAGTATATACTAGGTCCATCAGCAAAAAAATATGCTTGCGTCCTGTGTGTCCTGTGTGTCAGATGCACAGGACACACAGGACGCAAACCGTTACTCAGGATGCGACGCTGTGGTGCCCTGGTGCCCGAACTCCATCCTTTCTCGTTGCCGCGCCCTGCTCCTATCTGGACATCGCTCCCGGCGCCTGCTACGTCCAGACTGTCTATACTGCATCCTCTCATTGTCCCAACCCCCCGGCACCTGAGCACATTGCGCTGTAACTACCTAACTCCTCCCGTTCTCCATCCTGATCCCAATACTGAATCCTCCCCTCTCCTAACTTGGTTAATCGCGTACCTCACTGTCTGGACTCGACGCCCCATCTACTTAACAATTCTGGGCGGTTCTGGTATGTTCGTCCTCCTATCTGAATGTCCATATAGCACTCTTCATTGATCCGGATATCATGGTATCTGGTTCCAAAATCCTGGTACCCTGTGAATATTTCGTCTATAATCTAAACCATGCTCGGCCCCCATTTCGGTCTAGTGTCGTGTTCTCCACGTACACATCTGGATTGATACACTTTTCTCACAATTTCTACTGTTGAGCCTGGTTCTGCTTTCTTCATCTTTGGCTCTTTTACAGTGCACGATTGCTTCGTGAACTTCAAGTTTTATACAAGTAGCTACATGACGTCTATTGAGTTCAGCGTCACGTCATCTCTCTGCAATTTATTTCCTTATTACATGTATTCCTCTCCCTTGTCAATTCTCCTAAAATACTCTCTCTCCCTTGTCAATTCTCCTGAAGTATCCCCTCCCCCCCCCTTTGGACATTCACACCCTTCCCTCACACGCCCAATGCTATATAATGGCAACTGCCCAACAGTCTTATGGGCACCTCTTTCATGCCTTATGAATCGCCGAAACTCAACGAGAGTTGTGACACCTGAGATGATCTGTTAATGCCACACTCTAGGGTATCATCCTGGCTGCTTGGATCACAATGTCGGAATGCTACCGCTGGACTCCCTGATGTCTGGCCAAAATCAGATGTCACATAAGTGTCCTGCGATAGATTCCGGCTATCTCCGCATACTAGTCGTGATATCATGGGTGATTCAGGCGTGGTATAGATCTGCCGGTGGGGCTGCCGGTACGATTGCCTGGATTCCCAGTTCTCCAGTTCTGCCGCAACAGCATCCTAGTCATCATCGTAGCCTTCCAGTCGATCTTCTTGGACGCCATATTGTTGTTCGACCTTTTGGGTGATAGTCCACCGGATTCCTGCGAGAATCCTGTCTTGTACCCATGCTGGACATTTCCGCCACATTCGAACCTGCCACGCAAAGAGGGCTTGCGCGGGAGCGACATGTTAGTTGGATCGGTGTCGAACACAGCATGAAGAGTTTCAGGAGCATCTTACCTCCTACTACATCAGGCTTGAAGCCCCTCAGTTCCACGTATGCCCACGTCTGCCATGCCCTAAGTCTATGGCAAATTATAGCACAAGTCAAGCACACCATAGTACTGTTGATCTCGGTTATAAAGTCGCATTCTAGACTACCTCGCATTTTCTTTCCTGAGAAGTACTTGCTACTAGTATAGATAGTATCAGTGATCTGAGGCGCAAGGAATCTAAAACTGAGATTCTGTGCACAGTTTAGTCTGAGTTAGCCAGAATCCAAGGTTTACCAATTTGGCTGCCAGTGACCAACCTCGTACCCGACTGGGTCGCACATAAACTGATCCCCTTCTAAGAGATATTCAACTCTGCGCTCAATAGCTGCAGGGTTCTGAGGCAGTTCGTATAACTTTACAATATTATGCTTCAGATGGTAGACGTATTGTGACCTTACCTCAGAGTATTTTTGTTGTATCTATCTTTGTTAACAATCTGCAGAGCATCCGGTCATTGATTGCTGACTTACTAGGTTCAAAATATGCTCTGATGGCTCAATCTCAGCAGGCTCTGACGTCGTATCCAACACCTAGCACCAAATGCTATGTATCTTGGCCATCAAAGCAATCACATTTGGCAGTGGGTCAACAAAAAGGGCATAACGGAGAATCAAAGTCTTGGCCATTTCTAGTATCAGATGTTCAGGTCCGGTCCCAAAATTCTGGCGCATGGGATTTACGCCCCGGTTCCCTCCCCATTGAGGTGTACCCGGATCAACTGCTAGGATGGAACTTCTGATAACAGACGAGCTTGCCCGTCTGCTGTCTGCTGGAGATGAATCACGAGCTAAACTTGATGATAGAAGAATCCCAGGACTGTATGCCCTGTCCCAAATTATGTGACTTTGAATTACTGGCATTTGCCCAGGTAGGCAGGACGTCCTGTAATCCTGACATGGTTGAGATCTAAATGGTTTTCGTGCATTCCGGCCCCTATCTCTTCCCAGATTGTACTCCCTGAGCCTGCCCTGGTGTGGTGCCATCAGCGATCTCAATATCTTCCGGATTAGGTCCGATGTCTGGTTTGGAGTCCTTGGATACTGGTGGATTTTGGTCCTCATCACTGCTATTGTC